CACAATAATTACAAAAAGAGTCCCGCAGGAATTAACAGGAACACTTTGTTCTAATTCCCCCGACTCCTCCCCCCACTAAGCGCTCCGTGGTCTCCCCGCCCAGCGATCTGACGCGGCTAATGGCTCCTTCATCATCTATAATTAGGCAGATTGGCCCCACAATGCACCTTGTTGGATGACAAAAAAAAGAGGGAAACCCGAGGGTGAAATTAACCTTTGTGTAAAATTCTAATAATAAGGCCGCATGTGTGTGACATCTGTCCCCGACTGGGAGGGTTTGATTAGCGGGAAAACAAAAGGGCATATGGTTATTTATGAGTGCATGGATTAGAAATATAAGAAGACGTGGAGAAAGCTAAATTAGAAAAGTAGTATTTATGCTCCGTTGCGTCAGGACTTAGAGTGTCATTAAAACATAATAGTCACAAGAAAAACGTGATATCTCTAAATGGGCTTTTTCTTTTCACAGCCCAAACACTGTCGCATCCTAAATGATTGACAGGTGTCAGGACACGCCCCCTTTGTTTTATTGATCTTTTGGGCTACGTTCATTCAGCACGGAGGCTGCAGACTTTGGACCACTGACAAACCTGCAGCTTCTTAACCTTTTCGGGGATTCAGATATTAGCACCGCAGAGTTTGGGACTGTACCTAAAAACACAAAAACTTCACCTGGATGGGCGCAGACGTGCATGCTCATGGGAGCGCTGAGGCCGCCATGATAGCAATGTTTTCTGTCATAAAAGAGACCACTGTGTCTCCTGTTTAACCAAACCCAATATTGACATGTTATTGTAAACCGAAGAAACCTTTTCAATAATCCAACAAAGTATTTTTGGTGTCTTAGTCCGTTTAAACTGTTTCACTAAACAAACTAAATGTTTCCTGTTTGGGTTGATCAAGGCACAAGCAGAAGTGGGTAGAGTTTGAGAAACATCCTGGTTGTGGCTAATTAAAAAAAACATCTTTAGGGCTGCTATTTGTTAGACTCATCCCCCCCACGATGCACCACAGAACACCACAGGAGGTCATTCCTGCCTGTGGCCATAATACTCCTCCCTATACATATCATACATAAACATCAATACAAATCATCATCTTGTGTGCAGGGGGCGTGTCACTCACTTGAACCGCAACTGGAGGATGAAAATCAAGCTACACATGAATTGAAGTTTTTTGTTCTTTTACAAAAAGGCGTTTTCCTTCACATCACACTGCTGACGTTAAAATAGCCGATCAGTGGTGGTCTTGATTTAAAATACAGAGTCCATCCAGTCTGAGACCGAGACAAGACCGAGAAGAAATGCTTTCAAGTACTACTACATTATGTGGTCTAAATCTATAGATTTATTTCAGCATACAGATCCTCTGTTTTTGTTGTTGGATAACTTTATAAAAAGTCAATTTTATCTCAAATGTATTCTTGCATTATTGGGTCATACATATTCTGCAGTTTTATTATATAATAGTCAAGTTAAGAGTTTAAAAAGATGTGGGTAAATCATTAAAATGTTGCAGGATGTCGGGTCATGTTTGCAGCTCTGCTTTGTGCTAAAACAACAAGCTGAAGCTTTGAGATTTACCTTAATGCAAACTGAAAACAAATCATTCTCAGGCATTAATTTAATTTACTACCCTCTTAAGCCACTAAGGACAAAAATGTCCACTTGCAAAAAATGCTATAAAAATAGAACAGATTGATATTTTTTTGTACTTTTTTCTGCATAAAACATAAACAACTTCAGCCCTGCTCAAAACTACTAAACATTCAATCATTTTTAGGAATTTAACCCTTTAAATGCCAGTTTGATTACATGATGTCACTGTTGTTATGTTGCAGATATTTTTTTTTTTTTTTTTTTTAAATCAGTCTTGGATATGTCAAAGATTATCCAAACTATTGACTTTGATGCATTGTTAGTTTTTGTGTAGCATCAGATTTAAAATGTAGTTCCCTGTTTGGACACTGGAGAGCGAAAATGTCCAATTTACAAAAACTGCTATAAAAATAGAACAGATTCAAAAAATGTTCTACTTTTTTTTGCATAAATCTCTTGAACAACTCCAGCCCTGCTCAAAACCATCAAATATTGAGTAATTATCAGGAATTTAACCATTTAAATGCCAGTTTGATTACATGATTCTGGCATTTAAAGGGTTAAATTCCTAAAAATGATTGAATGTTTGGAAGTTGTTTAAGAGATGTATACAGACAAAAGTAGAAAAAAATATCAATCTGTTCTATTTTTATAGCAGTTTTTTCTAAGCGGACATTTTTGTCCTTAGTGACTTAAGAGGGTAGTAAATATGTTTCTCAGTGTTCTATTGATATATATATAAAAAAAAAGTGCATTCTAAAATGTGTCAAGAGAGAGTCTTTCTTACAAAAAATGTGTTCCATATGCACTAACAGACAAAATGATGACCAGATGAAGAGGAAACATTTGACCAAATGGACAAAAATGTCCATAGTGATGCATCAGGGTTAAGAGTCGTTCTCAATTTAAGATTTAGTCCACATTTTATCTCTCCAATGTCAGAACTAAAAGCTCTGAGTTAGCTATCAGAGCAGAGAGTAGAGATCTGGATTGAACTTCAGCAGAGAAAGAAAATGTTTAACGGTTATCATCTCTGATATAAGTCATCCACTCACAAAAGAATATATTCAGAACACATTATAATAACAATGATTTGTAATCCGTGTGTCATGCAGACGCCGCGCCGTGACACTCATTGAAAATGAGGATTACTTTATATGTAAAAATCCTGTATGTGTTAAAGGCACATTAAATGCCTTCATGCATCCGTCTGAATACTGCAGGAATTAACCAGATGAGGCATTCAGGTGAACAAAGCTGCTTGTGCAGTGCAGCAGGTGCAGCAGCTCTTATCACGCTGGAGACGCCTCACCTTCTTCCCTCAACACAATGACGGCTGCGCCGTGTCATATGATCCTGTACGTATTGACAGAGAGGGAACAGGTGCTTTAAATTTGATTAATCATCCCCAAGGCGAGGCTCTTATCTGCACGGGAGTCTGGAAATCATGGCTGCTGTGTGAGCGAGGTGAAAGGGGGGTGATGGAGGGAGATGAACATGTGAGTGTACACACGGTGATACCGTAGGGTTAGAGAGCACAGCTGTACATGTGGGAAATATTTAAAGTGACAGATATTAAAATAAATCACGGCATTATTTAGATCAGCAGTATCCACCTGCTGATTTCATTATTTTACCGTCTTCTTATGTTGTTATCAAAACAAAAACAAAAACAAATCAGCACTCTCAAAGTGAAATTATTTAAAATGATTAGATTGAAATGGAGAGCTCGCCCTGATGAGAGCGACTTTAAACACTTTTAAAAGAGTCAGAGCTGAAAGCTTAAAGGTCGCTGTATACTCAAAACAAACTTAAAGTCAAAAGGTTTTTTCCTGAGTAGCTTCTCTGCCTTTACAGTGAGGAGTGGGATACGATCATCCTTCCATATGGGATAACATCGAACACAAACGGATCGATTCCTCCAAAAGGAATTAATGCTGACGCACACAAAACACAGACAGAACTGAACAATTAGAAACCTACAGACACCCAAGAGGCAAGGTAGAAGAACTATAATTAGATTTTCTTAATTTAATCCAAGCAGCAGCCACAGCATGTGTTGAAACCTGAAGCCAATAAAGAAGTGCTAAAAAACTGCAGTTCCTCAAGTATCCACTCCAGGATGGCTGCAAAAGCCAAAATTAAAACTCTTTAAAAAAATGAACATTTTAGGGTGCAGAAGGCCTGGAGGTTAAATCACGCTCCATTTAGTGAGGCTATAGTCCTTTAAGTGGGCAGTCCGGGTTTGAGTCCAACCTGTGGCTCCTCTCCCACATGTCAATGCACTCTCGCTCTCTCTCCCCAATTATCCACTAAATAAATGAAGGTTTAAAAAAAGTCAGTTTTGACAGCAGAGTTAAACCCGTTGACAGCCTGGTTCAAAGATGACATAATCTACTCATTAATACCACCGGTCTGTTGGGTATCTTATCTGCTTTGATTATACTGAGGCAAAGAGTTACACATATATTTGCATAATTAGGGGCTCGCTGAGATGACTGACAGGTGGGCTCGTTGTGGTTGAATGCTAGAAGGCTAAAAGAACGCTTAAGCTTCACTTAACCTGTTAGTGCGTTTTGATGTGATGTTAGTGTGAGACAACATTTCCCATCATTGGCTTCAAAGGTCTGCATGAGAAACCAAAGGGTGACGTCTCTGAGACTATGCTTTTGTTTTATACAATCTATGATCTAACCCAAAAAGTTACAGGAGCAGAGAGAAATTGGTATTACCTACAAAAACATCCACTCAAAATAAATGAGCTATTTTCACTTCCCGATTTGCCCGTTATGCCTCTCAGGACTTCCCTGTCAGTTTTGTTCGTATCATTTAATGTTTTGACATAAAATGTTCTTATTGCCGTTTTCATCGGAGGTGAGAAAATTCAGTATTTTTTAATTGCGGCAGTAACTGAGTCTGTAGGGTCTTGGGGTGGGAACCGAAGGGTCGCCAGTTCAAGTTCATGTGGGGACCAAATCAGAAAATTGGTCTGGTAGCTGGAGAGGTTTCCTGAGATTTGCTGTGGTGCCCTTGAGCTAGAACCGACCCCCCCCCCCCTCCCCACAGTGTGCTTATGATGTGTCAATTCTATGTCGACTTGTGAATGCTGTATTTGGGGATACAGATTTGTTTGTTTGCCATGTTTGAGTTTCCCGTCTCTCTTATTGTGACACTTAAATGGAGGTCAGAAGCACAAAGCTACTTCCTGTCTATGAAAATATTCAGCGTTCATTCCATCATACATTTCTCTGCAGGACTTTCCCTTCCATACCTTCAAGTAAAGCGGGGTTCTGTCTTTTCCTTTTGAAAACAGCACCCCCTAGTGGTCACATCGACACCCTGCCGTTCACTCTCTTGTCAGCAGCTAATCTAATCTACATTTCCTGGCAGGCTGGCTCCCTGTCAGCCAGCTGCCGCCGTGCCCACCTGGTTCTCCGTGATCCGCCTGGAAGGGCCGTTGATGCCAAGCTCCTCCAGCGGGTAGATGATCTGGCGTCGCGGCCGGACCGGGACAGCACAGTCGAGGACCCAATCCAGATGGTGGACGCAAGAATTCTGGGTGCAGAAGAAGAGGGGCAGGAAGTCAGTGAGCTCAGAGGAAGAAAAAAGAACTCCTCAGAGGTTACACAGTGTGAGGGCTCGGGAGGCAACAGAGTGATAATGAGGTTAGATGATGCAAGCATTACACTGGAAACCATCACACTGTGCTTTTTTTTTTCCACTGCTCAAACTGGTTATCTTCTGCAATTATTCTATTTGCACATCATCATCTTCCAATCTGGTGCTTGTTTTGTGGAAGTTAATTAGCAGAGGAAGTGGAGGCCTTTACATGTTGAGGAAATATCTTGTTACAGAGTGGAGAAGTGGAGCTGGCAGCGCCGGCGCCACCTGCTGCCCTGACCCCGGGGGGACGGAGGTCTGCAGAGGCCAACACTCTGCTAGATCTGCAGCTTTTTACGATCAGAACAAACAGCTGCAGAAAACAGTTTTATCTGCAGATTGTATAGCTTTATATTATTCAAATATTTCACTGGAGAAGGAAGTACTGCCTTTTTGTGAGTAAACTTTTCTTCTTTTCATGCTCAGACTTGGGTTTGAAGTTTTCTAAGGAAGAGGCAGAGGTTAAATCAGAAACATAATAATGGCATTACCTGCCTGGCATTCTGTCATTATGAGAGAAGACACATACAGCAGTGAGTCTAGAGTCCGTTGGGGCCCCGAGGCCAAAATTAATTGGGGGCCCCTCCAACCAGTGTCCCGACGCTTACTCCTCTTCCTCTTTCTTTTTACACTCAGATGGAGAATACCTCTTTATTTTGCTTCAGTGACTTTTATGATCAAACTTTGTTTGTCACAGCAGCAATACTTGCAACGCTGAGTAGGGCAACGAGAGTGAGGGCTGTCAGATGGGGCCCCCTTAAGGAGGTTTCCTACAAGCTGCACTATGACCATGATGAAGACCCACAAGCTTAAATGTGTCGTTCTGATTAACAGATAAAATTGATCTTCATACTACAAATGTTGCTGGAGCTAGGCTCCCAGAGGGACCGAAGGCCTCCCTCAGCCCAGGCTCCGAGAAGGACCGAAGGCCTCCCTCAGCCCAGGCTCCGAGAAGGACCGAAGGCCTCCCTCAGCCCAGGCTCCGAGAGGGACCGAAGGCCTCCCTCAGCCCAGGCTCCGAGAGGGACCGAAGGCCTCCCTCAGCCAAGGCTCCGAGAGGGACCGAAGGCCTCCCTCAGCCCAGGCTCCGAGAGGGACCGAAGGCCTCCCTCAGCCCAGGCTCCGAGAGGGACCGAAGGCCTCCCTCAGCCAAGGCTCCGAGAGGGACCGAAGGCCTCCCTCAGCCCAGGCTCCGAGAAGGACCGAAGGCCTCCCTCAGCCCAGGCTCCGAGAAGGACCGAAGGCCTCCCTCAGCCAAGGCTCCGAGAAGGACCGAAGGCCTCCCTCAGCCCAGGCTCCCTCAGCCCAGGCTCCCTCAGCCCAGGCTCCGAGAAGGACCGAAGGCCTCCCTCAGCCCAGGCTCCCTCAGCCCAGGCTCCGAGAGGGACCGAAGGCCTCCCTCAGCCCAGGCTCCGAGAGGGACCGAAGGCCTCCCTCAGCCAAGGCTCCGAGAGGGACCGAAGGCCTCCCTCAGCCAAGGCTCCGAGAGGGACCGAAGGCCTCCCTCAGCCCAGGCTCCGAGAAGGACCGAAGGCCTCCCTCAGCAGGCCCTGCACTTCCAAAAACTTTGTAGCAGCATCCACAACGATTTCAATTCTGTCTGACTTTTATTTCTGCTTCAGCAGCACAGCTTAGAATAATTTCAAAAACAGCTAAGAGCTTAATCTTATCCGTACAACAATAGTATGACTCGTGCTTTTAATCTGAAATCCTTTCCCTGTTGGTTTCACCTTTTCTCCTCTTTATAACGTCCTCATGTTTCTGTCTTCTCCTTGATCTCATTCTGATTCTCTCTCTCTCGCTCTCGCTCTTTTGGGGCGGCCATCTTTCTATGTTTCAAACTTACAGCCACAGAAAACGAGCTGCCTTTTATACCCTCCCTGCTGCAAGTGATCGGATGGAAAAGACCACTTCGGTGGGACCAGAATATTATGAAAATGATCCTTCTTCACACTAAAACAAATACCACATCAGATATAATGTGATGAATCAGCGTTTACATTGATACAAATAATGATCCTTAACTTGATGACACATGAAGTTAACTTAATGACATGAATCAGCATTAGTTGAGCCTGTGCTCCCCCCCCCCTCTCCTTAATGGTTCGCTCCTGTAGCTCTTAAGCAGGTGCTTAGACACACCTCCCTCTTTTGAATCCACCCACATGTTGAGACAACCAGAAGAGGTGAGTACTGCCTTTGACTGCTTTCACTGTTTGTATTAGCTTAATAAGCAGAGAGTAAGAAACACATTTTAAGTCCTCAACAACCATCCAAAAATACCTCAGCAAAAGAAATGACCAACTCTACTGCTCACTTGATATTATACGTCAGTAAATATTTTCCTTGTGACTTTATGTACTCTAGTTTCAAGTCTTGTGCACCCACCTCCTGGCTTTGGTCGGAGGGGTAGATCCGGAGGTACAGGCAGGATCTGTGAGCCAGCCGGAGGACCTCCTTAAACAAGTGTTTGGAGAAACGCTGGAAGGAGGGTTTGAGGACAAAATGGAGGATCTGAGCGTGCTCCTCGTAGCGGTGGTGGCTGAAGTAGATGAAGCTCTCGATGTTGTAGCGGGCTCGAATGTACTCGATGTCCTGACGGAGACAGGAGAAGAGGAATCAGATGAAAAGGAAGGTACAGGAATACATTGGTAAGAAGACGCTTGTATTTCAGTTTTTTGTACATTATAATTTTATTAAAACTACAAAGAAAGAAAGAAACAGATCAAGCACTTCTTTATTGAGATAAACTTCTTACTATAAAAATTTTTTGTAGTCAAGATAAAGTTTAAAAGATAATTTTATGCCAGGCTGGATTTCAGGGAAACAAAGCCAGGAAGTTTTCTGGGGCCGAGTCCGATTGAATGTTTCTGTTTCCTTTCGTCTTGATGCTTTTGATGTCTTGTGTGAAAGACTTTGAATTGCCTCGTTGCCAAGATTTTTAAAGACAGTTATTAAAAAAAAAAAAAATTCTAATTAAGACTTTTGAAGGATTCATTTTGGAGAAGGTGCAATATGACCCTACAGCACTGATCAAACTAAGACTTGACATTTCCTTATGCATCATTGGATTTCATTATTCATGATAGTATTTGGACTCTGCAGTGAGACTTTTTTTAAAGTAAGAAGTTTTCAGTGTAGTCGAGTACTTTGTCATGACGGGGGACAGAAGCAGGTGAGACGTTCAGGGTCATGATTCCCTGTAACCTACCTGTTCATCTCTGATGATCAGAATCCCCACCACCTGACCGTTCACCTGGGCCACAAAGGCCTGCAGCGCCGCCCCGCTCTGACAAACACAAGAACAGAACACATGAAATGTACATTTACGTGTGTGTGTGTGTGTTGAATTAAATACGGGCTTGATGCGGTGTCTGCTAACAGTCCAGTGCCATGAACACACATGAAGTGGATGCATCCTGTTTGGAGAAGTAATTATCAGAGTTGGAGCTGCAGCAGTGACAGCTGGGGCGTCAGTCAGAGGAGGAGAGGCCGTTCAATCTGCTCTCTGGCGTATGTGAGATATTCCTCCTTATTCCAAGACAATCACCGTCAGCAGCTCCAGTCACACTCCATCGCCCAAAACAATCAACATTTTATTTTGAAATCAGTTAGGATTTCTAACCTTGACTTTTATGCAGATTAAAATAATTTCCAAATATTGTGCATTTTTTCAGAATTGATTATGGAATATAATATTTAGCAAACTTAAACCTGGCCCACACTTTAGGATTGTATAACCACGTGGTGAAATGTGCGCTCTCACTGTATGACTCATATATGACCAAAGCTCATGTTTAACATGCTCACAATGAACCAGTAAAATTAGAATGGAGCATTCACGGTTACCACTGGAAAACTCCCACTAACAGGTTGACGTCGGTCGAATATATATTAAATTCAGTTTCCTGAACGATATGCACGGCTCAAAAACGCTCCCTCTCTCACACACACACTCAGCATCACCGATAAACACAAGCTAGCTACCAGCTAAATCATAATAAAGATTCTCTGTCAGCTGGAGGTCTGCAGATATTTCCTGCCAACGTTTCTTTTAAGATCGGAGGTGGAATGAATTAAACAGCCATCCCTGATGTTGCCATGGTGATTTCAGATGCTGTCAGAAAAAAAAAAAAGCCCTGAAGTTGGGGAATCAGCTCGTGGCTCTGCTCTGCTCATGATTATGTCGCTAACAGGGTGTGCGTTATATGGTTTGTATCAGACTCATAACTGCTCTCTGAACGAAACACAAACATTCACTCAAACAAGGTGTGTTGGTAACGCTGTGTGTAGCCTACTGACCGGATCCCGGCGGGTCTCGTAGAAGAAGTCCAGATCCTGCAGCAGCGTCTCACTCAGTCTCAGACCTTCCACCAGGTCACAGACAGCCGCTTGGTCTGCAGCCACGGCCTGCCTCACCTCAACACTCCTGCAGGAACCAGCACAAACTAGACTGTCATCAAAGCTGTGACTTGTTTAAGTGAGAGGGGATACTAAGACGGAGACAGAGATCAGACAGACATGGTGTTCCCTTTAAGAAGGAGGCTAAATGAACCCGTGACCCACCCGAGCTCGTCGCGGTGGAAGATGTAGAGTTCATTTTGCAGCGAGCTGGTGGGAAGGCGGGTCACTCTGTGGAAGCTCTGCAGCAACGGGAACTCAGGGGACAGTGTGGGTACGGTGATGATGCAGAAGTCCAGGTCCTGGTGGACAAGAAGGGAGACCAGAGACTTTATATGCAAAGAAGACATAAGCATAGTGAAGTGACCAAATGTGACGAGAGGTCGATTACCGCGCCTCATATCCTGATTGACTGGTTGCTAGGGGTAGTGAGTTATCAATGTTATCACATTTTTCAGTGGGTGGTGAACCAATTGTGACAAAAAGTCTTCGAGGCACTTTTTAAACATGCTTGTTTTGTTCTGTTTCTTTGTTCTGTTTTTTACCCTCTGAGGTCCAAACTACGATTCTTTCCATTAAAAAAAATCTGATTTGTTGAAATATATCAGAAATTTGGATTGTGATTTTTCATGAAGGAGTTGGTGGAGGGTCCTGAGGCTGTCCTAAATCCTCCGATTTGACTCTGATTTACTAAATGAACATCAGGCTGTAGTGAGGAAGACTTGAAGGTAGAGATTGAGGATTAGGAGATTGATTAAATTTATTTAAAAAATGTTTACTAAGGACTCCAGGGTTCCGTTTCAGAAAGCAGGTTTAGTTTCAGTTAACCCTGAAATGAGGGAAAGTCTGGGTTATCCGTTTCAGAAGAGGAGGTCACTCAAACCTGAGAAAGAGGGGTAACTCCAGGTTGTTTCAGAGGGAGAGGTAACTTTACCTCTGAGTCTGTGAACCTAACCTGGTGGGGAGCAGGTTTTCTTCAGTGAACCCCGAGTTTCTCTCGGTCTCCTCCCTCTTTCAGAGCCAGAAACGTCGTTTCACTTCCTCATTCTTTCATGAAGATGTAGGCTATATTTCGACAGGGTTAAAGTACGGGAACTGGTTTTTGTTCACCTGTTGCCATGGTGAATCGTAGTATCAGGGCTCCATTAATGTCCAATGAACATTCTCAGAGTTGATTTAACAAACTCAAATCAGCTGATCTGGAACCAGAAACTCAGAGTTTCCCACCTAAGGGTTAATCACCTCAGAGCTCAGAGTTAGACTGAGGGTTTGTTGGACCTTCTTTCGGAAACGGGCCCCAGAGGAGACACCAGTACAAGAAATACTGACATGCACACTTCACCAGAAATAGATTTTGCCGCATATAAGAGGAAAAAAATGTATTTTTGAGAAGAATTCTAAATATTCAGCTTTAGAATCTTTCACCTGGGGTCCATGTGATGTCTAATTTGATATATCAATATGTTAAAGAACCTGACACACCTTCAGTAAATATTATCCTACCAAGTGTTCAGGAGTCTCTTTTTTATGTCTGTCTCAGATACCTCGATAGTGCAGCAGCTAAATAAAGAGGTTTGTTCTGGTTTCTAAACATCAGCTGCTTGTCTTGAGTGTAGCATGCACAGATGATACTCACAGGGAAGAGGTTGAATATATATGGAATACAGTCCGCTGATCTGGAAGAGATAAAAGGGGGCAGTGTAAGTGAAAAAATGCGTCAGTGCCAAATAGTGAATGAAAGCGGAGTGCCAGATCAACAACTGGCCGACCAATCTGCCCCTCTTCTTCCATCTCGACTTGTCGCCTTCAGCTCCGTCACGCTGTCACTTTAAGCGCGCCTCTCATTAATAACATGCTCACTCTCCGCAGGACGCCACTCCACTTCATACTCAGCAACAGCTGGGAGGCAAGGCGGGCGGAGAGAGGAGCTCAGCAGGAGCCAGCTAACAGTCACTCTCTCTCTAACACGGCATATGACTGACGGAGCTCTGGACCGCTGCCATCCACTGCTGCAAGAGCCAACTCTGAAATATGTGTGGGGACTAATGGTGACTTTTAGACCGTCTATCATTCTTTAAATACAGCGTCACTAACGTGTCCGACATGTTGCATTACTGTGGATTTCACTTGGCATGCCTCGTGTCTTTTTGTCTTTTTGATGTTTTCAGGCGTGTTGACATTTTTTTGTGATGATCCAAAAACTTTTTTTGGTCGCTTCATATCAAACCTCTTTACTCCTTTAATCATTTCTTCAGTCCCATCCTGACCAGGACTCCCGCTCAGTAGATAAACTGTCTCAACTGGACCTTTCTTTGCAAGCTTTGATTCAAAAAGTGTTTGCTTTACACGTTTGTTATTTTGATTTCTGCTTGTAAAGAAAACACTTTTCATGGGACACTTCCTGAACAACACAGGACTGGATCGATACAGCAAGTGATAGTTTTGTTTCTAAAAATAAAATTTAAAAAAAGAGACAAGAAAACATATTTATATTTTCATTTCAGTGTACAGTGTTCCCCTTTGTTATTTATTTTTGTATTATATCTTTGCTTTAATACAGTGTATAGCTTCTGTACAGTTTAATTTACTTAGCTGCTACTACAACTTATTCATTTATTCATTTATTTATTTTATTTGTACTTTTTTTTCTCATAATGCTATTCTATTTTATATATCATTTTAACTTTGACTCAGGGAGAAACGCACAAAATTCCAAAGTACCTGTACTGACCTGTACCTGTGCAAATGGGAATAAACATCTATTCTATTGTCATAAAAAGAATCCCCTTTTTGTTTTGTGTGTGCACTTTTATTTCTCCCAAACTTCCTTATTATTCACTTTCTGAGGGCTGCAGGGTGAATTTGTTATTATTATTTTTTTAACCTTTATTTAAACAGGAAAGAGACTAATTGAGATTAAAAATCTCTTTTTCAAGAGTGTCCTGGCCAAGACAGGCAGCAAAACATTAACAGAGTTTCACATCAAGCAGCCAATCTTTCAAATACAAAATACATCAGTAGACATTAAAAGACACAAATTACAAATCCGAACAGCAAAATGTTTGTCAAAAATCATCCACAAACATATCAGGAAGAAAATCTACAGCCAGATGTGTCTGCCTCCAGGTCATTTAACGTCCTCTTAAAAGCATCCAACGAGAGAAGTTCATTAAGTTTCAGCTCTTTTTGTAATTCGTTCCAAGTAAAGGGAGCAGCAAACTTAAACGCCTTTTTCCCCAGTTCAGTTCAGACTTTTGGAACAGACAGTAAGAAAAGATCCTGAGATCGAAGATTAGAAGACCCTGTACTCTAATGAATTGTTTTGTTTTGAAATAAATTCTTGGAACAAAGTTTGTTCTGATATGTTTTTGTTTTTTGTAACTAAACTAGTGTCTTAAATGATAAGATTTGTAACGAGGGTAGGTGTAATAAGATAAATCTTCAGCCTACACCTTTTCGGTCAAAATGTTTTTGTTTTGTCTTGTGACCGAAATAAATGATTACTACTAAAAATTAACATATCGTTTGTCTCAATGCTCTGAGTGGTTTAGCAGCTTTGTCATTTAATTTAGCTAGCTTGCATATTAATACCCTCATTAACGCTGAGCTCACCTCATTTCATACTTCTTGTCGATGGCAAAGCAATGAATACAGAAAGCGTTGGATTTCTCTGAGACACGTCCAGTCGACTGTGTCTCCTCCTGCTGAGAGGAAAGTGAACATGACACAGTTAGAAGTATAAGACTTATATAAGCCCTGTTTCCACCAAGCGGTCTGGCTTGGTTCAGTCCAGTTTGGTATAGTAAACTCTGATCTTGCTTGCGTTTTCCAAAGCCAACCGTACCCTTACACATCACTAAATCACAGCAGCAAGGACAAAGTGCAAACGGCCAATAAATTCAACAAAGAAGAAGAACGTGACACAGTAAACAAAGATCAGTGATTCCTAGGAAGGTCTGCATCTCCGAGGCCAAAACAAAACCTTAAAATGACCCTCTCAAAATCTGCAGGATATTCAAACATGGTGCGTTTTTTGTTTGTCCTTTATGACCGTTGTCACACGGGAAGTGATTATTTTTTTTCGACCAATCACGGACTGCAGTGTGTCTACCTCCAATCTTTAGGGTCGGATCGGTACGCTTGGCACATCAACAGAAAGATAGCAAAAAAGTAGGACGGTACAGATCAGTTTTTCTTGGTACTCTTCCTGACTTTTACAGTGGAAACTGAACCTTTCCGCTTGGTGGAAACTTTACACACATCAGATCTGATGTTCACATCATAATCATGATTTTATTGTCTACATTGATTGACTGTAGCAGGGAGAAACTCTTTCTTCCTTTGACTAAGCTTTATTATTTCTTTATCTGTATGATCCAAACAGGTCAAATGAGTAAAACAAATCTGAAGGACTCACCTGCTGTGGATCAGATGTTTGGATCTCTGTTGTTTTCTCTTCACCTTCTACGTCAGCCTGAGCGTCGGGTCCATCGTCTTCTGTCTGCTGTTTTTTATACAAACCACTAAACTCTCTTAAATCAAAGTTGAGGTTCAAACACTTCACATCCACATCCGAAGTGAGGCTGATGAAGCCGATGGTGACTCTGCCACTCTGTGGAGAAAACACACAGTCGTCACTACAGAGTCATTCTCAGGTTTCCTCTTTTATGTCTAAGATATCTGTCCATAGCTCAGCAACTTCCCTGAAGGTTTTAGTATTTTAATTTTAATTTCTTTAGGTTATATCGATAAAGGATGCAAATAAAATACAACACACAAAAGAGACACACACACCAAAACGGAGCGTTCTGAGAGAGCTGGTTTCTACAGGGTCACAAACCTCCTCTGGTGCTTGATTCATGTTTTATTTTGACCAAAGCACAGCACAGATGTTTCATTTAGACCACAGGGGACTGTTTGAAAAGGTGGAAAGGGGGCAATATGTCCTCTTTAAAGAAATACATAAATATGTATGTTTAAATATCTCTACAGCTTGTTCAGTTCAGTGCTCGAGGCAGGAAGAAAGCTGTTTTTGCACCTTGGGATCAAAAAAATCCATTGACTGGGAAGAAGTTAAAAATCTTTAAAGCGAGGTATGCAATGGTTGATTCTTAAAATTAATGAAATGACAAATTCTGGAGCTTGACAAAGGTTTCCTGAATTCGGCAGAGGGAGAAGCTCAACCCTCCAGGGCGATGTTTGACTGTTTGTTCTCCGAGTGCTGAACGCATTCAGACAAAAAAGCCCAAGATGCTTCAGATGTCTGGACACAATATGTTCAGTGAGAGCATGTGTTGGCCGAGTATCAGCTCGTATCTGCCATATGCTGCCATGAACACATGTCGGCCCGACTGGCAAGGAGGAGAGAAGGTCTGTCATCTCTCAGATCCCGAGGGGAACGGACCCCAGCAGGGGGTCTGACGATCAGTCAAAGCATTTTCATCTAGCTTCTTTTAGGGTTATGTTTGTACTGTAAGGGTGGAATTGAATTCAAATCACATCGGTCACAAAATATCTGACCATTCATGATAATATGAAACAGTAAAGATCAAGAAAATTTAGTATTTCTGTGTTTAAGGGAGAATAATGGTTTAAAGTCTGAACAAACCTCACAAACAACGGTGTGATTTTTCTCATTCTGTGCCTCAATGAGGTCTGCCAGGTAGTATGGACGCTCTGCAGACAGCTGCTTTGTCTGTTCTGCAAACAACGGCACGATGTCATCATGATCTTCCACCCTGTGATGTACAAAGAGGAAGTGCTTCGTTAAAGGGTTAAAGGATTTTTATTTTCACCAGGTAGCAAGCATACAGGATTCTGTGCGTTCTCTAGACTCTCTTCATGACGTCCAACAAAAGCTGAAACCACACCCTGATCACTGATCACCCTGATTCACATATGGACAAAGTGTGTGTGAGTTTCATTGTTTTGGATGCAGATGAGATGTGTGAGTGTGAAGGACTCATCAGAAACTACCTGGCTGTGCGGATCTGAAGCCTGGGACTGTGCTCTTGTCTGTGGCAGATTAAGGCTAAGCACTCGGGGCCCGGGTCAGTCAGGCGCTGCAGCGGCTCAAACGTGTCCTTCAGCGCCGCCTCTGAACAAACAGCAATCACAAATTCAGTTTCTGCAGAGAAGTTCATGAATTATTGATCAACTATTGATAATTTTACCTAAAACACCAACATGAGGGCTGACCAGGCAGATGTAATCAAGCTCTGCAACCGCATTAAAGACGGCCCTGCAAAGAGAAACAGAATAAGAAGGGAATTAAAAACGTTGCATTCATCTTCATGTAAGAACATTCTGTGTTTGGCCTTAACCATAGACTGTATTTCAGACATGGAAAGTGCCTAATGACTTAATAATTAAACCATCCCTGTTTCTATTTAACTTTGAAATAGTGGCAAATAGGACATATAAGCACTGGAATATAATTTCTCTTTGTGTGTTTGCAGTGGTATTTTAAGAACCTGAAGTTATTTATATACTTCATTTTTTTGTCTTTTTTATGGCTGCAGATCGGGTGAAGAGCCCGAGACAAATGTATCACTTTGTGAGACAATAAAGTTGGTCTTGAATCTTGAATCTAAAGATGCCACCCACTGGTTTGTAGACGCCTGTATGAGTTTGGTATTTAAACCGTTGCCATTCGTTCTTTGGAGCCAGAGGTGACCAAACTTAAACTAGAGGGTAGATCAGGTAAGGCTAACACTTAATTATCACCTTGTGCTATCATTTTTAAGTATTTGAGGTAGCAACGTATCCTATTTTATTCCTCATTTCTCATGGCATGCCAACACAGCTGAAACATCAGAAATAACAAAAGGTCTTATTTCCAAACCTCATTATTTCCTTTAAGCTTGCTGCAGAGAAATCCGGCTGTGACACAAAAAGGTGGAGGAAGAGAGTGTTCCAAGGCTAAAAAAGGAAGACATTTCAAATTAACATAAGTGTTGTTGATGTGAAGCACTGAATCAGAAACGATTATCAAGCAGAAAAATGATTTCTTCCTGAAAGAAACTTCACTTTTTCACTTTCCCGTACGTGCTGTAATAAAATAAACGCACTGTGCATTTTTCAGCCCTGAAGTGTTTCTGCAGGAAAGGTTCCCAGAGAGTCTGATCCACCAAGTCTCCAACAGGGTGGTCGAAGAAGGAAGCGTGGGCCAGGATCTCCTCCTTTTCATTGGCCAGAGTCACGGCCAGATTTGCTTTCTCTCTGGACGGAAACAGGAACCAGAAAATCGTGTTAAGATGAAATTATTTAACTTCTATGCATTATTCATGCACACAATGTGTTACAGCTTCGAGGCTAGGAGAGAGCGGGGCATATTGTCACACTGGTTATAGCTCTACCACCAGAGGGCGCTGTCTATGATTATAACCGTTGAATGTGCAACTCACAGTTCTGAATAGTGATGTGAAAAGCAGTTCTTTTCAGTGTACTGAATCAGTAGAATCAGTTCAGTAAAGTGATTCGTTCAAAAGATTCGTTCACTGAATCGTTCAGTACTTCTCAGCAGCTCTGTCTGTGAATCAGAATTTAATAAACTGAAACACGGCCGAACGTTTAGTTCTGCTCACGATCGTACTGAGAACAGCCGGTGGTGAATAATAAACCAATGAGCTGAGAATTTAGTTGGATAAAGTTACAGTTACAAACTGAAAGCTGCTAAAACAATCACATTTATTTTCCCCGACCGTTCTGTTCAGTACGTTCAGAACACAAATCACTCACTGACTGACTGACTGAGAGGAAGAGAGAGGAGGCGGAGCTCTCGTTCAGTTCCTTCACTGAACATGAACGAGCGAGACTGCGAGTCACCAGCCTCAGTCACACACACACACACACACACACACACACACACAGTACTGACTGAAACACGATGGTTAGTAGATGTTAAAACAGTCAGCTGAGTTAAATTGAGTTGGATATAAAAGCCGTTTGTAAACTGACAGCAGATATAAAAAGCACAAACATTTTCGCGACACCTAAATGTTAAATAATATATTTTCTACTTCCTCAATTTTGGAGACATGAGAGGGAGAAGTAGAGACGGGCTTTAGTGACACAGAGCTCCCGACCGACTCCGTCCTGTTGGTTCAGTCAGTACGTATCACTGACATGAGAGGAGAGGGAGGGCGGGCTTTGAGAGACTCTTACAGTCTGGAGAGAGACACGAGACCGGAGAGAGGAGAGAACAACTGAAGTTGAGAAATGAACGACTCTTTTCAGTAAGTGATTCAGTTCAGTTCGTTCACCCAGATGATTCGTTCGTTTTGAACGAATCGTTCACGAACTGCACATCACTAGTTCTGAAGTCATTCTGTTACTCACACAGCATTAGTCACTGTAATTTGAGTTGAGAACAATTTTGATCTTTTTCCAACATAAAAGTAAAAAAACTTAATTGTACATTTTATGTCATAAACATTTGAATAGTAAGTATGCTCAATTGGGTATATTTTACACAGAATAGAGGAGAGAAAATGTTTATTTTGATACCTGAACCAAAGTCCTGCGCTAAAGCTAGCTTATGGCATAGCTATCAATAGCACACATGTCACTCTGGGCAAGTTGTCACATGTGACCAATACCCAGTATACATATATTACAACATTTTCCAACTGCAGAACTGCAGAAGCCAACTTTTCTAGCTGTTAAAGTTCATTTTTGCTAAACAACAATGAGTGTGTGATATACTGCTTCACAAAGTATTATTAGTAGTAATTCAATTGTTATAAATGATGAGGCCACAAAATGGTAAAAATATACAGGAGGGTGCTTAATAAGCCTTTAATTAAAAAAATATTTATTGATGAAATTATTTTTTTGTATGTATATGCAAGCAGAAGGAAGAATATAAAGGACAGAAGGGAAGCCTGCTAAAATGGTTCGAAATTATAAACGAAAGACCGACAATGGCAGTACACCAGCTGACATAATGTTAGGGCAGTGAGGCAGGTAAAACTTGAAAATAAATCAATAAGGAGTACTGCCAAAGACTTCAGCATTAATTACAGGACCCTCACACGCGACTGTCAAAAGATGACATCCGTAGAAACTGAGGGTCAGATGACGATGCCAACGTCAGTGGTGGGCTATGTTCAGCCTAGGCAGAGTTTCCCAGCTGACTTGGAGATCCAACTGGTTCATTACATCATTAAGTCAGCTGACATCTACTTCGAGCTGTCACCAAGACACTGTTACGTCACTGAAAGATGTATTTAAACATGTTGAGTTAGAATTTAAAAAATAGTTTAAAAAAAAATTGATCAAATGAATCTGTTTGTGTTTAAGCTATTTGTAGTTTTTTAGGTTTTTTGGTCTGCATCGTTTTTTATGCACTGACACTGATGAAGCCCTGGCATTGAAAACAGCTGTTTCAATAAATCTGACTTTCAAATGCAAGAATAAGAGTGATACATAAAATATAATAAATATAAATGTGACAATTTACCCCGCATAGTGTGACAACATACCCCGGGATGGGGCAACTTGTCACAAATACACACTCTGTACTTGATCATGCAGAATTTATCATTGAAGTGACAATGAAAATCTGAAGATTATACATTTGTGAACAAGAAATTAATCTTTAATTTGATATAGAAATTGAGTGACTGTGATATACTTAGACCGAGAATTTTAGGTGAAAGCCAAAAGTGTGAGAAGATGCCCCACTCTCCTGCTTTATAAGAAGTATGTTTTAAAAGATTTGTCTTACAGAAGATGTATTATGTTGACTCTTCCAAAAAGCTGCAGAGTTTGGGAGCTGATGAGGCTGTCGATCATCTGAGCATCCACTGATTCACTCCTCCTCACGGCCACAGCTTCCTCCTGCCCACTGGCTGAGGTTACGGTCCTCATCTTTACCTAATGTATTCAAAAAGAGACATGGTATGTTGGTGCACGGTATCTCTTCAGGGACGACATTACTGCCAAAACAACAACTTACTGAGTTAGTAATGCGTTTTAAGTAGAAATAAACATCTACAGAAACTGTCAAAACGTGTCTAAATGCTGAGCTTTGTTACTCACTTGCGTTGAAAACACTAAAAACGTATTATTTCTCCATTATTTGCGCATAAATCCAGCCTACAAAAACGATAGTTACCTCTGGAGGTTTGACGTTTCAGTGTCGTTAACAGTGTCCATGTAACCATAGCAACAGAACGCTGTGATGAGAATATGCTGCATTCAAGTGCTCTTTGGATGCTCGGAGATTCCCAAGTAGCACTTCGCTCGCCGAATGCAGAAACGTCCACGCTACCAATAACACAAGTTGTGTTTAATAGATTAATGAAGGTTTTTTGAGCAGCATGACAACCTTTACACTGGTCTGTCGTTTCAAGCAAAACTATTAATAAACTCTTAATTTTTGTCCTTATTCTGTTGTAATACTTACACTGAAACTAGCCAATTTTTCACAATTTCTTCACAATTGTAATAATAAGCTTACATCTTACATAAAAACAAATCTATATATTTACATCAATCAATCAATCAAACTTTATTTATACATCACCTTTCAGACAAATTAAATTGCAGTTCAAAGTGCTTTACAAGAGTGCAGAAAAGTTATTGACAAAAAGTAGTTTATAAAATCATTGATATAATCATTGAGAGACTAATGCACACCAGTAAGAATTAAAAAAATATGTATAAAAATAAAATAAAACAAAATACGACACATAAAAGCAACAAGATATTAGGATAGTAAAACAGTAGGATGATAAAAACAATACAGTAATGTTAAGATTTGAATTGATTTAAAACACTATATAAAAGTCAGATTGAATAAATGAGTTTAAGACTGCGTTTAAAAATACATAACTGGTGTTTAAACATAAATCAATAGGCCTTCTGTAAACAATCTTATGAACATAAATGGTAAATGACATACAGTAGCTATGAGTTGTTTTTGCGAGGAATCTCAGATATTAGAAATGTATTGACCACATTTTTGGTTCAAACAAATCACACAAACAGGGTGTTAAAACAAACATCAATAACTAACAAATATAACAGGTCAGTTCATTTCTATATGAGGAAATACATATTAATAAATAAAATATGTGTTAAGTAAGAGTAAAATAAAATCTGTTAATTGGGTCACATATTAAAGTGACTGCATAAGCTCATCGTTTTAATTTTATTTATTTTTTTTGTTAGAGGATTTTCGGTTTAAGAAATCGTTATTTCCCATTTCCCCGACAACACGTGAACGCGTGTCTGGTGTGAACCCGCGGAGCATTCTGGGTACTGTCATGGTGGCTGCGCGCTGGCTGTGACCGAAACGTTTCATTACCGACTTCTCGTTTTGTTCCCCGTTTTAAACATTTAACTTAAAGTTTGGGACGTAAAACTTTTGTGGAAATGGCGTCCACCGCGGCAGGTAAACAGCGGATACCGAAGGTGGCGAAGGTAAAGAAAAGAAAAAGATCATTTAAAGAGCTAACTGTGGCTAATGCTAACACGCTAAAAGTTACTGCAGTAAACTTTAAGGCTCCATGTGGCTTCTCACAGCGTCTGTAAATGTTATATATCTGTAATACCCGGCAGAAATATGCATTAAATACCAGTTTAGGTTACGAAAGTCAGCTTTAAAGAAGCCGTATGAGTTTGAATAAGAGCTAATGTTGCTAGCTAAGAGTCGCCATGCTGCGCTTTGTTTTGGTTCATTTCTTTAATTATGTGAAAAATCTGTTTCATGTTTTTGTCCATAAATACAAAACTGTAGACCTACTAGAGACATGTTTGCATTACATCATACAGTTGATACAGACTCTGTGCTGCAGATCACACACACACACACACACACACACACACACACACACACACACACACACACACACACACACAGTGGGTACTATATAATACTGAGCAAAGGGTCTGAATACTTATGACCATGTGATATTTTAGTTTTTCTTTTTTAATAAATTTGCAAAAATTTCTACATTTCTGTTTTTTTCTGTGCTGATGGGGAGCTGAGTGTTCATTCATGAGAAATAAAATGAACTTTTTTGATTTTAGCAAATGGCTGCAATGAAACAAAGAGTGAAAAATGTAAAGGGGTCTGAATACTTTCCGTACCCACTGTAAATATATATATATATATATATATATGAGTTAATATAAAACTAAATACACGGCCTGTCCGCCACCTGGATTTAACTAAGTAAATAGGTAAGAGCCTCCCATTGGATAATAACTTCAGCTGGCAACAAGTTATTTAACATAAAAGTGCCACTTCCAGCTCTGTGGATGTTTACAACTATCTTTGGCTAATGGTGTATGATTTAACATCCTTGTTTTAATACCTCAAAGTTGAAGTCTGAAAACATTTAGGCACAAAGAAATGTAAAAATATATATATGTTATCTGATGCAATGAGTAGCTTCTCATTTCTTAAACCACCATGTTGAGAGACCATCCTGTGAAAAGATGTTAAGTCTGTTTGAGGAGGGTCAAATCACCGCAGAGAAAACATCTCAGGAGATTACAGAAACTACTCAAAGATGGTTAAGAACTGTCCAACGCATTTATTAAAAAGTGGAATGAAGAGTTCCCCTGTTCCAGAGTGATCAGAAGAGAAGAGAGGCAGATGAAGTGATGCACCCATCATGCCTGCTGTACAAGCCTGTGGGGGGGCAGTGCTGTGATCTGGGGTTGGTCGAGTTCAGCAACATTATGTGCCCAAAGAATGAGGTCAGCTGACGACCTGAATATACTGAATGACCAGGTTATTCCATCTGTGGATTTGTTTCTTCCCTGACGGCTGATCCAAGATGATTCATCAGGATTCATCGGGCTCAAATTGTGGTGGAGTGGTTCAGGGAGCATGAAACATCATTTTCACACATGGATTGTCCACCACAGAGTCCAGACCTTAACCCCACTGAGAATCTTTGGGATGTCCTGGAGAAGACTTTGCACAGTGGACCGACTCTCCAGATCATCAGTACAAGATGTTGGTGAAAAATGAATGCAACACTGGACAGAAATAAATCTCGTGACATTGCAGAAGCTTATGGAAACAATGCCACAGCGAATGTGTGGCGTAATCAAAGCTAAAGGCGGTCCAACGAAATATTAGAGTGTGTGATCTTTATTTTTTTTGGCCGGGCAGTGTAGTTTTGTATACATGAAAACTTGAACACACAGCAGGAGAGACAGTTTGACACAGCCTTAAGAACATTCAGCTTTCATCTTTCTGCATAAACTGCTTCATCACAAATCTAAACTCAAAATTAAAACTGGTTAAAAATCGGCGAGGAACATGAAGATAACGTTCTCCCAGGTGAAACGTCATGCTGAAGGATTCCTTCTTGTGTTTCAGGTGAAGAATAAAGCTCCGGCCGAGGTTCAGATCACTGCCGAGCAGCTGCTGAGGGAAGCCAAAGAGAGGGAGCTCGAGCTTCTGCCACCTCCACCGAAACAGAAGATCACCGATGAGGAGGAGCTGAATGATTACAAACTCAGGAAGAGGAAGGTACGTGCTCACCTGTCATCTACTGTTTTACTAAGTTTTGCATTGGAGGGTGAGTATTGAGATGTTGCTCTAACATTTCAGTGTAATGCACATGTTGTGACTTTGAGGAAACAGATCAACTATCAGACAGCTTTGGAGGTTTCTTTCACTTCTTTATAAACCGCTCTGCCTTCTTCTCTCAGGGGTTTGAGGACAACATCCGAAAGAATCGTACCGTCATCAGTAACTGGATAAAATACGCACAATGGGAGGAGAGCCTGAAAGAGGTCCAGAGGTATGGTGTCAAATCGTTTTCCTTGCCGAATCTGTCCGTAAATCTTGATTAGTCGTGAGCATGTTAAAGGTTTTTATCCTACATGTAAACTTGTAATCTTTAGAGAGTGGCTGCTGTATGATCGTTCACAGGCCCACACATCTCTCTGCGGTTCCTTTATTTCTGCATTTCTTTTGATTTCAGGGCTCGTTCCATTTACGAGCGAGCGTTGGACGTGGATCACAGGAACATCACTCTGTGGCTGAAGTACGCCGAGATGGAGATGAAGAGCCGCCAGGTGAACCACGCCCGCAACATCTGGGACAGAGCCATCACCATCCTCCCACGAGTCAACCAGTTCTGGTACGCATCAGGTTAAACACTTCAGTGCTGCTTTTGTTTAAGGGCGCCCTTTCAGGACACTCGGGCTACAGTCCTGTGAGCCTGTAGGGGTTCAGTGGGCAGAAGGTAAAGTGAGGAGGAAGATCAGAGAGTACGGGTCGGTGTGAAGGCGATCAGGGAGGTACGCAGGTGAAGAGCTTTGAAGGTAAGAAGGAGAATCTTGAAGTCAAGGTGATATTTGACCGGGAGCCAGCGATGTTGTTGGGAGGACGGTGGTTTTAATGGAAGGGTGATGATACGTACGATTTAATTGTTTTTGAATGAAGTGTTTTGTTTGAATGAATGCTTTGTGAAAGAGGGATTAGTCTTCTTTCTGCTCCTTTTCATTCAACATTTGAGATTTTATCTTTGTTTGTTTTTCTTAATTTCATTGTTTGTTTGAATGAAATACATTTACAAATAAATAAGTTTACAGAGAAGCTTAAGAGGAAGTGGAGAGAGTAAAATGAGTCAATCCAGATTAGTTGTGTGAAGTCTTACTGTACGACCGTCTGATCAGGAGCAGCTGATCAAACAGTGATCAACTGACACCGGGCGGTCAAGCTGAAATTCAGCCCGACTTCAAAAAGTGTTGTGTGCCTTAAATCATACAGTGTTCCCCAGGCTTTAAAGTTTCTCTGGAGAATCTCTGTTCTGTGTTTCTAAACTTCTGTATGTGGCTATAAGAACATGTACACCGGCTTCATCGATCATTCTTGTCCTTTCAAAGGTACAAGTACACGTACATGGAGGAGATGCTGGGGAACGCTCCGGGCTGCAGGCAGGTGTTCGAGCGCTGGATGGAGTGGGACCCGATGAGCAGGCCTGGCACTCGTTCATCAACTTTGAGCTGCGCTACAAGGAAGTGGACAAAGCCCGCAGTATTTATGAGCGATATATCCTTTTCTTGATGAGTATTAAACCACTGCAGGGAGGCCCTTCACTTGAAGCAGGGACACATTGTTTCAGTATCTATAAGCATTCAAATAGAAGTATAATCCCCTTCATTTAACGCTTCATTTAAGTAATATTTGACTTTTTATTTTTTAATCTCAGAAGCATCAGTAAGAAAACATTTCTGTCATTCTTTGTACTTCTGTGCAGATGATATTTGTTTGTCACAGAAAAGTTCTTTAACTCCTCTGAACTCGTCATGGTTCACCCTGAAGTGAAGAACTGGATCAAGTACGCCCGCTTTGAAGAGAAGCACGGCTACATCGCCCACGGCAGGAAGGTGTACGAGAGGGCGGTGGAGTTCTTCGGGGAGGATCATCTGGAGGAAAATCTCTTTGTGTCCTTTGCCAAGTTTGAGGAGATACAGAAAGAGGTGTGTGTGTGTGTGTGTGTCTCCATCCAGGAATGTGATGATTTCTTCTCACCAGACGGGTGGAGTGACTGATTGTTTTTGAAATGTGCCTCTCTTTACAGTTTGAGCGCGTTCGGGTGATCTACAAGTACGCTCTGGACAGAATCCCCAAACACCAAGCTCAGGAGCTCTTCAAGTACTACACCATGTTCGAGAAGAAGTTTGGAGACCGCCGAGGAATCGAGGACGTCATCGTCAGCAAAAGAAGGTTCCAGTACGAGGAGGAAGTCAAGGTATTTATCCTCTTGATGTATTTATGTATCCAGATCCTTTTCTTGCCCCCGTCGCTGACAGTCTTTTCAATCAGGCGAACCCACACAACTACGACGCCTGGTTCGATTACCTCCGCCTGGTGGAAAACGACGCCGACCCCGACACAGTGAGAGAGGTTTATGAGCGAGCCATCGCCAACATCCCCCCGATCCAGGAGAAGAGACACTGGAAGAGATACATCTACCTGTGGATCAACTACGCCCTGTACGAAGAGCTGGAGGTCAAGGTGCCTGGCTTTTAAACCTTTTTACCCGTCAGTCGTTACTCATTTTATAAGAAAACATCACAATAAGGGAGAAAAACAACAATAAACTGTCTGTCTTCACAATTTCTAATCGTCTTCTCTTTTTAATTCAGGATCCAGAGAGGACGAGGCAGGTGTACCAGGCCAGTCTGGACCTCATCCCTCACAAAAAGGTCATTCTCCACTCATAAGCGTTTAGTTTTTTTGCTTTTATGACGATACAGTAACTTGTTGGTGCTGTTCTAACCTGAGTTTGATCATTGGATGTTTTTGTGTTTTGGTTCTAGTTCACATTCGCTAAGATTTGGCTGCTCTACGCTCAGTTTGAGATCCGGCAGAAGAACCTGCAGGGAGCCAGAAAAGTCATGGTAAGATTCACCAGAATGGAACTGAATGTGGAGGAAGCTGAGATATGCAAGAACTTTAATCTGGATCAACATAAAGTGCAGGCGAAGAAAAGTATGAAACATCATCCTAATGTAGATCATCAGCAGAGGAATCATCTGTTCTTCTTCTCTGATCTTCATTTCACTTTATTTAGAATATAAAACTATATAAGGATATATAATGAAATAAGGAGCGGCGGCTTCTGATCAGGCGCAAGATAATCGGTAAAAAAACTGCCCTGACACACCAAGGCGGTCGTCGGCTGTGAGCGATTGTCACCATAGTTTTTGTGGTGTGTCCTGGTTTGTCGTTCCCCGTCTGCGTTTTTTCAGCCGATTCGACGTGTTGAATGTGAAAACAAAAGGCGACGTGGAGTGTTTTTACTGTAAGACAAATGTCTGTTACTAAAAAAAAAAGGATAAAACTGCTTAACACACTTCATTCTAGGCGTTGAACAGTAATCTGTCACCTCACAGATTGTTTTTCTTCTCTCCTCAGGGCACGGCGATCGGTAAATGCCCGAAGAACAAGCTGCTGAAGGGCTACATCGAGCTGGAGCTGCAGCTGCGAGAGTTCGACCGCTGCAGGAAGCTGTACGAGAAATACCTGGAGTTCAGTCCGGAGAACTGCACCACCTGGATCAAGTTCGCAGAGCTGGAGACCATCCTGGGAGACATGGACCGAGCCCGCGGCATCTTCGAGCTCGCCATCGGACAACCGCGGCTCGACATGCCAGAGGTACGCGTCGCAGTCTTATTATCTACAGCGTGCAAATATGAAATCTCAAACGTGTTCATTAATGTAATCATGTTTTATTTGTTGGACGTTAACATCTTTCAAGTCGTCTTTAAAGTCCTGAATGTTTGACCTTCAAGTTGTTAACGTCTCTAAAGTCAGCTCTGAAGTCGTTCATGTCACTCAATTAATCTCTAAAGTGGTTGCTGTCCCTGAAGTTGTTAATGTCTTGCTTAAGTTGATTTAAATCTGTTACTTCGACAAGATTATCGTCCACATAAAGCCGGGTAGAGGCGTAGCAACATCTGTGTCAAGGCTCCCAAACGGGCGTTCCCACGTCGCTCTGTGAGAGAGGATCAAAGATGACTGATCTCACAGTCTTTTGACCAAACATGACCTGCGACAAAAATATCCAAAAGTGTCTGAGCTTTAGGACGATTATCTCAATGTGCATGCTTCTATGATTTCCATCAGCTACCAACCAATAGAAATGCAGAATGAAACACACAGGTGTCAGAGGTTTAAAAAGAATGCATGCATGACAAACGTCAGGTTCATCTGGCTGAAGCACACTGATGACGCTGCTGTTGACTCGCCTCACAGGTACCTGATGGCACAGTGCCGCACCAACGTTATGAGATCTGTGTCGCTCAGTGCGGCTGCAACAAACGTGCAAGATTGCAAAAATCACACACAGGGTTCCCACTCGTCCTGGAAAATTATTCCCACTCTCCTACAGGGTTGGACATTTTCACCGCCACACGTTAATAACAGTTTCTATTTGTTAAATTAATCCACAACGCAGATTGAATGGAAGTCTGTAGGTAATTTAATAACTCCGCCTCCCCCTCGTGTCTAAACACGAGTCGAACACAAAAAACTGGCTAACGGTCCTTTTTCTTAGCTGGCATTGTCTCTTCAAATGCAATACTGCATTAAGGGTAAAAAATGGACCATACCTTTGTAGCGGTAGCTCACAGTGTGATTAATCTTGTTAAAGACACTTAATGTTGGTGTGGCACGATCACGGACTGTCATACCAGCTGAAAATGTCCTGGAAAATAATCTCTGGAAAAGAGTGGGAACCCTGCACCCAGTCTGCAGGAAGGTTAAGAGGCAGCAGTTTGGTCTGTACATACATGTTCCTGATTCTGTTTTTTTCTTCCAGGTGCTGTGGAAGTCCTACATCGACTTTGAGATCGAGCAGGAAGAGTTTGGAAACACCAGAAACCTTTACAAAAGGCTGCTGCAGCGCACCCAGCATGTCAAGGTGAGAACTGCGTTTAGCTTTCTGTTGTCAGAGAACAAATCTTCCTAACCCAACACAGGTCAGTGTGAAATCAGCTCCAGCTCTGTTTTCTCATCAAACAAATTTGACTCATCTTCTCCTTTTTTTTGTTTTCCCTCTCCTCGTGCAGGTTTGGATCAGCTGCGCCAAGTTCGAGCTGTCGATCGAAGGCCCCGACCGGCTGCAGAAGTGTCGGCAGATCTTCGAGGAGGCCAACAAGAGCATGAGGAGCTGCGAGGAGAAGGAGGAGCGCCTCATGCTGCTCGAGTCCTGGAGCGACTTCGAGAAGGAGTTCGGCTCCGACAGCTCCATGGACAGAGTGAGGAAGCTGCTGCCGGAGAAGGTGAAGAAGAGGAGGAAGCTGACGGCCGAGGACGGGGTAAGAACCGAGCGTCTCTGCTTCTTATTTACAAACTTATCCATCAGTGTCAGCATGTAGCTCCGCCCCATGGACGACCTCCATTGTTGCGCTTTCTTCTTCTTTGAATTCATTAGCGGCCTACTCTGTTTCATTATGTATCTGATGCAGCGATCCCCTTCTGGCTTACACTGCACACACCTTAGGATACGCTAGGCTGCAAAAAAATCAATCAGGATCAGTGTTTACCGTGCTGAACTGGACCGGACAGTTTGGTGGAATCGAGGCTTTAGTCCTTTTGTAGTTTTAAGATCATTTATGAAATATTACCTCCATATTCTCTGGAGTTTCATCTCTAAGCAAACTTGATTAGAAAAGTGAGCTAAACGTGTTCAGACACTCACAGGTATTCATTCTAATCTCTCCTACTTTTGTTTATTTTAGTCGGACGCAGGCTGGGAGGAGTACTACGACTACATCTTCCCCGAGGACGCCGCCAACCAGCCCAACCTCAAACTGCTGGCCATGGCCAAGATGTGGAAGAGGCAGCAGATAGTGGAAGAGGAGGAGGAGGAGGAAGACGAGGAGGCTGCAGAAAAAGATCCGGCGGCTGAAGAGAGCACTTCACAGTCCTCTGACACGCCTCCAGACGCTCCTGAACAGCAGCCGGAAAACGACGCCGAGAGAAACACAGAGGCGACGGAAACAGAGCGGGAGAAGACGTATGATGACCGAGACGATGACGGCAGCAGCAGCAGCAGCGAGAGTGACAGTGATGATGATGGTGGAGAGAAAGAGGTGAAGGAGCCAGAAGCAAGAGTGGAGAAGAAGAGAAAGACTAGAACCACTTTCAACCTGGACTGATTTTTCTACTCAGTTTCTTTTTTTAACAAAAAGCAGCTGTGGAGCCGTCTTTAATGTACCACCATGTTTCCCTTTTGCAGCTGTGACATCATACAAACATCGATCCAAACATCGCTTGTCGTCGTCGTCTTTTATTCTGCAAAGTTTATTGAACCGAACATGTTCAGGGATTTAAATGTGTACAATCAGTGGCTCTCTGACGATGAGGCGTAGAGTAACGGTAAAGAAATATATGTACAAAGTAAACCGAGCAGGAAGCTGTGATTCAATGATCCACGTGTGATTATCGGGTGTGCAGAGAGCCACCGTCTACTGTTACTCGATGTCTTCTGGTCTGACAGGATGCGGCAGCGGGATGATCGACTTCTTCTCCGTGTCTCTGGACAAAGCTTTCCTCATATCTGAAAAATGGAAGAAAGATAAAAGAGCAATTTTGATAAATAAGTCTCAGCCTCCGGCTCATTTTGTTTTCCTGGATGAACGGCGCCCTCTGCTGTTGAGGGTTGAGTATTCAACACATGCTTTATTGTTGTGTTAGCATGCTAATGCTAGCGATCTTTATTATGCTGGTATCTTCACACTACATGTAAATTTACCTGAAATGAGCGTGATCTAGAAACACAGTTAAGCAGTGAGTACAGTATGTTATTCTTCTTTTCTCTAGTCCCTCAATTAAACAACTTTTATACACGAGGGGAGGAGTCAGCCGGCCGTCCTGGCGATGTAAACAAACTGAAGATAACTCTGAAAACATCACAGACAGTGGGACTCGGGTGTTACACCCATTGTAGACAGTCATGACTCACAGAGTTATTTTCAGAGGAGATACTTGATCTCTATATTTTAAGGTGAAAAATCACAAAGACTTTAAATTAAAAAACAAACTAGTTTCTGTTTGCAGACAGCTTCGGCTTTCTTTGTCAGGGTTTTGAAATGGATCTTAATAACTTTTGCTGCTGCCCAAATATGAACGGAAATTAGTGAAATATTAATCTTTTTTCAGGCTGCCAACAATAACTAAGCTGAGCCATCATCACTCCTCTAATATTGGTTTTAGTGTTGCAGAAGTAAAGGCCCTGACACACCGAGATGAGCGCTCGGCGACCTAGTTTTTGCGGTGTGTCTCCGTCGCTACCCGTCGGCCAATTTGACATATGAATCTCTCTGATTGGCTGTTCAGAGGTTTCTCTCCAGCTCTCCTCTCAGGTTCAGTAAAACCTCTTGAGCATGTCTCTGTAGTCTCCATGCTTTCACCCATTAGTGAGGTTTCTCCTTATTTGTCTCCTCTTCTTTTTCCACTAAAAGACCAAGAACTGACAACACCAGCGCCATTTTCTACTTTTTAGTAGACGACCTATAATATGAGTTCTGACCGACAGCGGGGTGAAAATGGTCTTCTCGTATCATAACAAAGGACTACCGCCCCCTGCTGGTGTGGAGAGTCCCTGTCCCTTCATTAAACGTCTAACACATAGATTAACCCCTAAACGTTCATTTCCCGCCCTGATGATCTGTTTTCAGACTGAACAACTCGTCTCACCATAAGCGTCTTCGTCAGGTTCTCCGTTGCTGGCCGAGTAATACTCGATGACCGTCCTGTAGACGCTGTAGCCCAGGCGTTTGTACATGTTCACCGCCACCTGGTTTGAGACGCGCACAAAGAGATCCACAAAGAATCCCCCCTTCCTACAAAAAACGAGACAACATGAGAGTCAGTCACAGGAGGTCGTTTGTTTACAACATCTCGTACTTCATAAGGCAAAAACTACAATTTATGTAGCAGACGATTTTATCATCAGAGAGTCAGAACAACACAAGCAAGGATCAGCTTTAACTCTGATTGGACGCTCGGGTGCTGACAGGAAGTGACCACAGTGTCATGCGATGGGTACAAACCTCTCGGAGATCTCCTCCAGCATCTCCATCAGTTTGGCGGCGAGTCCCAGTCTTCTGAACTCGGGGGCGACGGACAGAGCGGTGACGTGACCGTGCCACTCCTCCCGAGCCACAGATCCCTCCGCCTTCCCCATGACTGCAAGGACGAAACAAGACACAAGACGGCCACTCGGTTTAGAGTCACAGGAGCGTCACGACACTGAGAGTTTGTTTTACTGGAACAAAACACAGGAGTCGGCTGAGAGTGTCAAACGAGGGGTGAACTAATTAAACACAACTTCCTGTTCCTGTTTTCATTCCTCTCTTCTTTAGACTCTCACTAGCCGACTCACTCTTCACGTGTCTCCAAAATGAAATGTTAACACCAGACAAAGATCTTACTGTAGCCCATGAGTTCACCACCAGGAGCCTCGGCAACGATGAAGTACTCCGGCCAGTGAGCCAGGTACTGCAGGTAAAACGGGATCCCATACTGGAGGTTAAAGTCAAAGAAAACTACAGACCTGAGTTAGAGTTTTAAAACAAACGACACGGAGATGTTTTCTGTCTCCCGATGAACTTAAACTGCAGCGTGATCCTCTTATCACGATGATCAGCCATCAGCATGTGAAGAGGCTGCACAGGTGGGCATGTTGTTTTCAAATCCTTCCTCTTGTTTTGGGATTCATACTCGACGCAGGAGTATCTAAGTGCTGACGATGTGAACTCTGTCCACCTCTGATGACCTTGCAGGCGGTTCGTTTGTGTCTACATATTAATGTTCACATAAAGGATACAGTCTCTGTCAAAGGGTCCAGGTTGCTGTTGGGAAAAAAACACAAAGTTAGTATTAAACTTTTGAGTCTCTCATCGTCCACAAAGGGACGCCGCACATATATCTCAAGAAACATAAAATAAATATATATTTATTATTATATTTAATCCATAATGTACTAAATGAACCTCATGCTGCATTGAGGAACATTTGAAGAAAGAGATTGAGACCATAAACTGATTTAAACAATGTTTACTGAGGTTATAAATGAGCCACAGATTTCTATACTGTCAGAGTCCTGTGGCGTTGCGCCCCCTGCTGGCCATCAGAGAGAATGCAGGTCAAAGACGATTTACATTATTAATCCCATGAGGGGACAAATGCACACACACACACACACACACACACACACACACACACACACACACAAACACGACCCTGTGGACATGCACTAATGGAGACATGTCAGAAGGTGTTTTCGGACCAAATCTGAATAAATCAGTATTATGTAATTTCCTTTTTGATGTCAACAATGAAAATACTTTAGAGAAGCTAACTGTCTAGCATAAGCAGGTGGACTAAAGACAACTTCTATCAAAACTACACTTATTTCATTGACTACATGTATGCCGAATTATTCAGTGGACAAAACCGAATTAAACGGTGTATCATACAGGTATCATTATCTTTTCTTTCTTCTAATAACAACGACATTACTGAGTCTTCTTGTATTTTAACATGGAGTTCGGCGGAGCGTTCTGTCGCTCCAACAGGATGTGACGCATTCATCTTTACCGCATCAAACACAAGCCGGCAGGTTGTGAACAGAAGCTGTGTGGTCGAACTGGGAGGAAACACTCACATGTTGTTGAATTTAAATAAATCGTCGCAGGTAAACGGTCGCAATGTTGTCATCTCGGCTTGCTGTCCTGTGACCTTTAACCCCACAGAGGAAAAGACGAGAGGGGAAAGAGTAGCGCCCCCTGCTGGCCGGAGGTGCTTCTTCTTCATCTTTTTTCTTTTTCTGTGGAGTTTTGCAGAGGTTTGCCATCATTATATTTGCCATAATTGCTGATGTTAATATTGGACTGAACTCTAATTACTGACACTGAAGCTCTAAATCTATCTTATTCATTGTTGTTGCTGTGTGTGTCTCTGCATCTCCCTTTATTCCACTGTCCAAGCACAGCACAGCCCAGTCTCAGCTGATGTCTCTTCATCATGAGTCTGGTTCTGCTCGAGGTTTCGGTGATCGAGAAATAATACCTACTTTTCCTCTGATTATTAATGTTTAAAAATGTAATAAATAGAATCCACTGTTTTCCCAATATAACGACTGAAAAGCCAAGAAATCTGCTCACAGTTTGGCTGATCTTCTGTCACACTTCCACAAGGCAAAGTCTTAGACTTAGACTTAGACTTTCTTTATTGTCATTCAAACTTGTACTTTACAGTGCAGATAAGAACGAAATTTCGTTGCATTTGGCTCGTTGTAGTGCAGGATAAAAACAGCAGCATGTATTTTCATAGAAAAATAAAAAATAAGGTGCAGATATAAATAGATATAAAAAGAAAAACTATGAGTAAAAATACTATACAGATAAATATATTGCACGTTATATTGTGTTTTACAGTCCAGTGAGGTAGTCCTGTGTGGGGGTTTGAGGGGGAATGGAGGGATTCTTTTTTCCTGTTCAAAAGTCTTCTGGCCTGTGGGAAGAAGCTGTTACAGAACCTGGAAGTTCTGCTTCGGAGGCTGCGGAACCTCAAAGTCACGTCATCTCCAACTCTGACTGTGAAGGAGAGGACGTCTTCTCCTGTAACTGCTGATAAAGAGAGAGAAAGGTTTTGTGTGAGGATTAGAGTAAAAGCAACAGAGAACAGCAAATGTTCCTTTTGATCTCAACATGAATGAACAAAGAAAACAGCACCATAAACTGCAACAAACATGAAGTAAAATCAACGTCTTCAGTGTGTCTTCTATCAGTGTGCGTGTCTTTACACAGATTCTGCAAACATCACATACCAACAGCGGCGATTCTAGTCTGTTGGGGCCCTACGCAAAAATCAACGAGGGGGCCCTTCAACCAGTGTGCATCACTATCCCTATCGACGTCTGCCAGTGTCCCGACGCTTACTCTTCTTCCCTTTTTTCCCTCTTTTCTTTTTTCTCTCCTATAGACGGAGACATGCAGACACTCCCCAACGTACAGCCTGCGCTTTTCTGCCTGTAAAAAACACCAAGTGGACACGGGGCCTTAGCTGGCAAATTCATTAAGACTTCTGAAGTACTCTTCATTTGTCTTTCTTTCGAAAAGGTCAAGGGAGAATCTCCAAACAGGCTGTTTGAGCTCACATTTTCTGAAAAGTGGAGCAGACAGAAGACGGAGAGGATGGACTTTTCTCTTCATTGGGGGGTTTGTAGACTAGAGACACATGTTAGAGTTAGAGGAACATGGTGAAGTGGATTTTGAATAATATGTGACTTTTAACTGACATTTTAAATAACTGACTTCACATTAAAGGCAGCACAGCTTTATGTATATTACGAGCCTGCTGTGAGACTTCATTAAAAGTCAGTGATCATCATATCTCTGTTTCTTTAATGTTTTTATGAAAACATTATGGGTACAATCTTTAGAGCTCTGCTGATGCTGTATCGATGTTCACACTTCAACACTTCCCCTTCAGTTCTCAGAAACAATTAATGTACCAGAATGAGGAACAAGCATTTCATCAAACCAGTCTTCTGAACTGTCAAAGGAATCACATTCTGAAGAGTTCATTTATTTTGTTTAGTGTTTTAAAGTCATTAAGTAAAGATTTGTTTGTGAGGGAGAAGTTTACAGTTCGGCCTGGAGTTTCTGTTCAAATACGACAAAAGGTCAAGAAAGGGGACGGATTCAGAAACAGAACTGTTGGTAAAAAGTCATGAGTGACTCGTGTCCTTTTATCGAAACAGAATCACATCAACTTTAAGATGTTTAGGTATCTTTAAGAACTCTGGAGGGAGGAAAGGTGGATAAGATCTTTACTTAAAGAGT